GTGTGTGTGTGTATACTGCCCACGTTTTCAGTGTGTTCATTAGGCCAATTTATTTAAGTGTTATGAGTGCAACAACATCAACTGCCCTAAAATTCATTTACAGCCCATATGGAGGAGGTTATTGGCATGAATCCCCTTTATTCAGCATTCAACTAACCAATTATCGCTTTATCCCACCCTGTTGCGTAACTCTCCTGTAGTCCCATTCATATCAATTCACCTCTTTGGAGCAGCAGGGCTTTGACAGTAATTGTTAATTGTAACCACCGTAAATCTGGTGGCAAATCGTAATTTCCCTGGTGTCCCCTTAGCTAGGTGACACCCCCACAGCTGCAAGCCCAAACTAATGAGAATGTCATTGGTGGGTGTACATTATTAAAGGGCCATCACAGTGCTGAGATGGTTCATTATTAAAGAGATGGGAGATCGGTAGTGCTTTGTGAAGAGACCAGCCATGACGACTCTTACAGCTGTGTTTTGACGGCTCGGGGCGGGCAGATGATATCACCATGACAGCACTATTTGAATTTCCTCCACCCACTTCTCCTCGCTTCTTCCTGATATATCCCAATTTGCATTCTAGGCTTTTAACTGTTGGCTGTCAACCAGAGGACGTATGATAAGTGAAAATAATAGAATAAGTGAAAGTGGTTGTGGACCATTATCGGTGTATTTTTTTCCCCTGTGTCCTCCAGCTGCTATTGACCCCAAGTCAATTTGAGCAGCCTCTTTATTTTATGTAATCCGTATAATGTGCTTTGTGTGGTTAATGGTTATTTTTAATGAACCTTTTTTGTATTTTTGTTAATGTCTCAGTCATCACTCTATTTCCCCTGTCTTCATCTCATTTCTCAGACACAGTGAGGAAAAGTATTTCAGAGGCGTCCATCTCTTCTCCTCACGCAGACCCCCCTGTACCCTCAGAGACCTCAGAGTTCCCCACCAGGAAATTATCTGTGAAGAGCCAGACTTGCCAGGACTTGGGATCCCACAACAATTCCACTTCTCACAGTGAACCACTGCTGTCTGAGCGCACAGTATGTTACGCTTGAACATGTTTACATTGAGATTAGCATGTTTTCACTTGATGCTGTTATCCAGAAGAAGTTAACAGTGTTAAACAGCCATGTGTCGTTGCTTAAAAGAACACAGGGCTGTTAGTGGGGATTGTTGTAGGAATTAAATCCTGTGACTATGGAAAGGTCTGTAATTTGATGATGACTATTGCACCATTGCAGTGAGAAAATAATCTCTGCTTACCGCTTGCATTAAAAAAAAAAATAGTTGTAGCCATTTGAAGAGGCTGATCAGTTTATGAGCATGGAGATGTGTTGGCCCTCTGTCATACAATGCGGTATATCCTGCAGTGATGTGCATGTTTCATCTCATTTAACTCCTCATAAACAGATTTGGCAATAAAATGCTGACAGAATATCCAAACTTTTCGCTTTTGCTGGTACTGGCAAGGTACCGCAGATTATCCTCGCATGTATTTCCACACAGGCAGACTGGATTAGTGGCTGGCTTGGGAAAAATAGCAAGCAGAGGTGACGTAAGATTTTAAATATGCTTTTCCTCCTTGAAATGGGGATCGTTCAGCCAAGACTCTCAGGCAATGAGCCAAGGTTTTTTTAGAAGATTCTCACAAGGACAAAGTATTGTGTGTGTGTGTATTTCTAATCAAGCTTGTTTTCAAATATTTTATGCCTTTCTTCCTATTCCTTGACATTACTTTGTCTGTTGATCACTCAGTGCTGTCTCACTCACCCGAATTATTTCTCATCCCATGTTTTATGTAGCCAGAAGATGTGAATTTCTTCCTCTCAAAGGATGCAGATCCGTCCATGTCCAGCGACTTTTCTTCAGTGGCCATACCACCTCCTGCTGGAGAGGATGGCTCAGAGCTGGAGCACCATCGGGAGTTTCCCCTGGGCTTTGAGCCACTGCGGTCAAAACAGCTGGCTGAGATGAGGGTGGAGAGCTCTCCTGTGTTTAAGGATCCTTTCTGCTCTCCTCTGCTGGCTCCTGATAGCATGCTGAAAGGGCTGCCACCTGTACATATAGTGGTAAGAAGAAGCTGCAGTTGGGATAATCGACAGAAGGCATTTATACAGTTAAATACACATAGGTCAAAGGTTGCTCACTCAACTGGGGTGTTAGGCTAAGCTGCATCAGTGCATTAAAACAGTCCTTGCAGCTGTCTTCATTTGGTTGCACGTATGATCCTCCACGACAAAGCTGATCCTTCTTATGTTTCTTCAACAGGTTTTAAATTGAGCAGATATGATATTGTTAGAGCATGCAGGAGCAGACCAGGATTAGGCTGTTCATGATGATGAATTAAAGGGAGGACTACACTACTTACATTATTGTATCAGAGTGATGGGTGAGATGGGGGAGGTTGAAGCCTGCTTTCTCTTGTAAGAAGTGTTAATATGAACATGAAGAAATTGGTGCTGATTTTAAAGTGGCTAGAGTGAGTCAGCGAGAATGTAAAGAAAGCAGGAACAAAAGAGACTGGAACGCTTGGCTTCCCTTTCTTCATCCCTTAATTAAGATTCTTGACATGTCTGAAGGGAATCCTAATTTGCTTTTCACCATTCCCACCCCTTTCCCTCCCTCCCGCTTCCTCTCTCTCCCCTCTCAGGCTTGTGCTTTAGACCCCATGCTGGACGATTCTGTGATGTTTGCCAAGCGTTTGAGGAACATAGACCAGCCTGTCACTCTGTGCGTGGTGGACGACCTCCCCCATGGCTTCCTCAGCCTATCACAGCTCTCCAGGGAGACGAGGGAGGCTGCCAACGTCTGCGCAGAGAGAATTCGCGCCGTCTTCACCCAGACAGACACACCGCCGGAGCCACGCAAGCATCGCAAGCTGGAACGGACCGATAGGGGTGTGTCAGCCTCTTCAGGGGAAGCTGGGTCTCTCTTTGTCAGCCCCATTGAGGGAGTGGAGCTGACTGCCGGGAGAGGGGCTAAAATTGCTGATGGGGATGGCTTGGTTGCTGTGGCAACCCAGAATAACACTGACGCTGGTGGTATTGGGCCTTAAATAAGGTTGGATAAAGAACGACTGCAGTCACCCAAGGAGTGAAGGAAGGAAGAGTAAATAAAAGTCAGACAAACTTGGGCAGTGCAATGCTCTAAAAGAGAGAGAGAGAAAGCATCCTAAAAACAGAAAGAGGGGAGGGGGAAGTCTAGGAGATTGTCCAGTTTTTGAGAGACAAAAAAATAGAGGAGGAGCACTGAAATACAACTTCCTCTGATTTACAATTCTTGCCACTTGTCTGTGCACCATCATGCACCGACGCAAATCTGGCAGACAAAATGAACACACCCACAAAATGTTTAAAAATAAAATGGTAATTTAGCAGCTACTTAGATCAAAGACCAGCATTCACCCACACATGCAGCACACATACTTAACAGAGTTGCCGTTAGGCAGCGGAGGCTCGGACATAAAGTAGCGCTGGAGATTCTTGAGACGAGGCCTGAATGGGTGATTCATCTAGGCCAAGGCAGTCATTTGAGGCCCTAATCAGACAGTGGTAGGCACACTATATGCTTCTGTATAGAGTCATCCCCATCAAAATGGCCACTTGTCCTTTAGGGGGGTGCTCTAAATCACACTTAATAACTCCACATTGTGTTCTCCATTACGCCAGTTTGGCAGTCAATACAGCTCACTTTGTGGATAGTAAGTCTGTTGACTCTCTCCCAAATAGAATTACAGAGCTAAAACACAACAGACTGAAATACTCTAAACTGAATGAATTGATTTACTTGTTTCTTGAGATTTTATTGCAGTTTTAATCATATTATTAACCCTATGCAGTAGTATTACTTTTGTTATTTATATCTTCTTCTTTTTTTCTATTGCTGTATCTTAATCATTACAGGTTTGTCTGTTGATATGTACACTATATTGTTTGTTTAATGTAATCTTTTGTTGTTCATTCCACATTTGTGAATGTGCTCAATATTTACCTCTGCTTCTTTGGCACAGTTGCTCCGACATCCCTGGCCTTTCCAATTGAACTCATATGCTACTCCCAGTAAAGCATACTGATAGGATAAAGTAAATGTAGAGTATTTAACTGGGACACAGTGCCCTATCTAGATGCTGCCTGGTGCTTTTCATAGTACTGATATACTAATGCAAAGATTGCATTTTATTGATTGCTACAGTGAAATTTCTGGAGATGCACTAAGGTGCATTATTTTCAAAAGACTAGTACTTGCTTGAAAACTCGAGTCCCATCTTTATAAGGTCTTTAAGGAACAATCCTAGCTCTCAGATGTCTGAAAGAGGCGAAATGTTTTTATTTTTATTATTTTACGACTGAAAAATATTGCTTGAGATTCTCCTTCTGCAGAACTAGAGTACAAGAGAAAGGGGCAGCATAAAGTCCAGTCCACTGCACTGATTACCTGAGGTTCTCCCCCTTCCTCGACAGGCGTTATTGCTCACAGTACTTCTCTGCACAGTATGTAGTGTGTTAAAGTACCACTTCTCTTGATCAAGGGTATTTCCTGCCTGACAATCTGTTTCTACAAATCAGAGGCTTTTAGGCAAAGCTCCAGCTCCCTGAGCATGAAAAGAGATTGTATGAGTGCTGTGTAACAGCCACTGAACTTGTTTGGCCAACGAAAAGAGGCTGGTGGTCCAGATGTCTTTGCTCCTCACCATCACATTTGGGGTTGACTTTGTTTTTCGATAAGCTGAGTACACTCGTCTGAGCGCGATGCCACCGAAGCACTTTGAAGTACACAAAAATGTCCTTCTGAGGGTCAGTTCCTCTATCAGGTCCAACTAAATATAGATGCCAACAATGCTGGCACTGTCCTGCCCTTGCCTGGTAACAGGGCTAGGGTTGCCAGGTCTGTAGAGAGGGGATGCTGTGTGATGAATAGGATTTAGCTGAAGCTCCGAGTGCAAGATTCTCCCCCCTGTAGAAGAGCTGGATTTTCAGCAGCAAAGTCATGCTACAGGATTAGACCATGCTCAGTTCTGTCAGCTCGAAGTACTTACTGCAATATTTTTAGTCAGATTGATGGAGAGAACCACGGCCGTGAAAAGAAGGAAAGTAATACACTCATCCTCTCGGAGATGCTGGGCTAAAGTTTGTACTTGCTTTACTAGCCGCTGTTTATGCTCACTCTGCACTTTTGCAGTAGTTGATTTGTCGATCCGTGCAAGTGTATTTTAAGCTAGAGCTTGTAAACGTGTTTTGTTTTTTGTTTTTTTTCTTCTTTACTTGGTGCCTGTATGTGTGGCTCAAGTGGAGTCTGCATGTGCTCATTCACATGATGAGAAACATGAGCTCACACACGGGCGCGTCCTCTTTGTGTCGTGTGTTCACATAAAGACGGGAATGGCACTTTAAAGTCAAGAGACTATTCGTAGTATTAATCATCTGTCATCCGTTGTTGATCATCAGCACTTTGTGTATAAATTATGTGAGCTGCTAGAAAACTTTTTGAAAAAATGTGTCAAATTCACCCACTTGCTGTTTACTGACCTCTGTATACCTCTCACCCTTGATGACCACTCACGCATCAGGCTACCCTGAGTGCAGGTGATCGACCAGAGAGCCCATCTGGTGCTTTGCACAGATGAGTTTGCAGAGATGGGTCAGTGTTACCTTTTAGTTTCCCCGATTGCTGGCATTTTTGGTGGTTCCACTGATGCTTATATACTACCTTCAAATTTGAAATGTTTAATGTAGTATTGTTTCAATTAGTGTTGCTGCTTCATTAAAGGTGTCTAATTGTTGATGATCCACAGAACAACTTTATAATCACAAATTGTCCTTGTTAGTACAAACAAACTAGTTGTAGTCATTCAGTGTAAAGCTGCTTTTTTTATTTTTAAGTTAAATAATCAGGTTGTACAGTATACCTCCAGTTTACTCGTCTAGAGCTCGGTGAAGTGCAATGCAAAGTGCAATGCTGCTACAAACATGAGCTAGCTGCTTAGGTAAAGCTATGCAGTTACACACCAGCATCAAATCATTGTACTTTTCACAGTCTCCGTTTCCAGAGTCAGAAATAATTTATTGTTATGTGTTTGAATCACCTAAAGGTTTATTTCAGCTCATTTATTATTTGTCCCAAGTGGGCAGTTTGTGCTGCAGAAAACATAAAACACATAACAAACCAACATACAAACAAACAACTGTTGACATGAACATAAAGTCAACGTTGTACATCATAGTTACCATGCCAACCCATATACCACAACACTTATTTTAAAGTAGATACAACAAGATTTCTTGAAACCTTTCACAAATGCATCAGTGCATTAAGACTGACCTCAACCACGTTTCCTAATGAGAAGTACTCATTTGACCTACCAGTTAGACATCCTATATGTATGGTTAAAGTTTCAAGTAGAACCAAAGACTGCAGAGTCTTGTAACAGATGCGCTGTCCTTGCTGTTTAGCGTTTGCTGTTAACTGGTATCATTGAGAATGCAGGTGCTAGCCAGTGTCGTAGCCCGTCTGCACTACATATGCAAATTATGCCGCACTGTAAAATGCAGCTCTGATGTAGAATATGATTAGCCTTTTAAAAGAAGTAAGCCATAGACTGGAAACGAAGCTGTTTTACATTTACTTGTTTTGTTTTTGTACTTTTTTTTTTTTTGTATTTTTTTTTTCTTCAAAACACCACAAGTGCAAACGTGTGAATAAAAAAGAATGTATATTACATGATTCATGTAGATATTTTTACTTTCCGATTTGTTCATCTGATTGATTGCAGATTCATTGATTTGACTGCATTTTCGTTGCAGGTTTCATACTAGAATGTTGTGTCTGATTCGCCATGAGTAGGCTGGTTTCTGCCTTTGTTGATTTTATCTAAATAAATATATTCTCCCATGAACCTGCTGTTCTGTTGTGTTTAGACTCATGCATTAACCTTTTCTTTGCATTGATCAACCCAAAGGTTAACTAAAAGTCACTGAGAATAAGAAATCGAGATTGTAATTCAATAGATCTGGCAGATATTCTTGGTATATCTGATGGCTTTTGTTTTGGATTTGTTTTTTGCTTTAGTGTGATTTATGTATTCCACTTCATTTATGATTTTCTGAATACCAGAAACTTGGTAAAAGTTAATTGAATTTTAACCAAAATCTTGATTTAGTTGGGACTTGGGAAAAGGTCAATTAAAAAACTGACCTTTTTATAAATCTAGAAAGTGTCAGATCAAATCCAAAAAATACACAATGCAGAGAGCTCTGTGATATTATTCATGTATCATTATGTCTCTACACAGTCGTGAACAGTAACAAGAGTACAGTTTTGAAGTATCTGTATTTCCATTTGATGCTACTTTTATACTCATATTCCACCACATTTCTGAGGCAAATATTGTATTTTTCACTCCATTATATTTATCTGACAGCTACAGTAAAATTGCAGATAAAGATTTAACTTGAAACACACGATATGCTTATGAAAAAATGATGCTTTTATATAGACCTATGTAAAAATCTGCTCAAGCTACAACATTAAGATAACTCAAATCCAATAAATACAGGTAATAACAGACTTTTGATACTTAAAGTCGCCTACATTTTGCTGATATTTCAGATCTTCTACTTCATTTTGAATTAGGAAATACTTGCAACAGAGTATTTTACACTGTGCTAATAGCCTACAAAGAATGTCACTCAGAAATTAGGGCAGAAATGACATTTTTCAAGAAACTTCAGCAGTAACAGCCAATTATCTGATCCCATTCCTGTTGATATATATAGATAGTAATATATGTCCTGCTGATTAGTGATATAATAACCTGAGCCGGGAGGCCAGGCATCATCTGTCTCAGTGCTACTTCATTAGAGGTGTGTGACCTCTAATGAAAACATGATTGCAATCAGCGATGGCATTTTTAATGTTTGGACGTGTCGCATTCTCAAAGCACGAGCGGAACCGGGAGCGCGCACTCTATAACCCCCCTCTCTCCTCCCGAATCTCTCACACACACACACACACACACACACACACTCTCCACCATCCAGCTTCAGCTGCTGGAGGGGGCCACAGGCATTGAAGGGACCGGAACCGTGAACGCGCCCGGTTCTTCCTCTCATCCACTCTCGCGCTCTCGAGCCCCGTTCCTCCGTGCGCGCTCCCGCTCAGAGACAGGCACAGAGAGCCCGAGGAGCAGACGAGCGACAGCGGGGGAGAGAGGAAGATGGAGGTACGGGTCGGGGAGAGACTTCTGTGCCTGGCGGTGCTGTACAGCGTCTTCTGCGTGGATTCAGTCCTCGGGAAATACGTCAAAGGTATCGTCAACACCAAAGAGGTGAGCGCGGCTTTTTTCTTTTACCTCTTTAATTAGTTGCGACAATGACACCGCCACGGACCGAGAGCAGCGGGCAAAAGGGACTCGACTGCGTATCCGCACGCAGGTGTCTCTGTAGGGGGGGGTGGCTGGGGGGTGCTGGACCGCGGATACACGAAGAGGCTTCAGCCAATTCACCGTTAAGTTGCCTCAGATATTTCCACGCCGCCATATGAAACACTCTCACCTCTATTCTGCCTTGCAATTGCGCGCCATCAGCTTGCGTGTCATCTGTGGCGTATATTTTACCCTTATATGATAGTGTTTGGCATCATTGTAGCCCCCAGTGAGCGGCATCCCACCAGTCCACTGCTTCCAGTCGAGCCCCCCCCCCCCAGTTTGCGATTGCTCATCTTATTAAACCCAAAATGCAGCTTTAACGTGCCACGTTTGAAAATGTAAATGTGTGTTTGTGATTAAGAGCAGCCCGTTACAGGTGTGCGTCATTTGGCTTCTGGGGCGCAGCGCTGGATTTGTGGTGGTCCTTTTGAGGGGTTGGGGGTTTTTTGGTCTGTTTTTCAGACAGATCAGCGTCGACATCATCGCTGCCCTGACAGGATCTGTGAGTTTAAACTGTGAACTGTGCACCTGGGCAGACACTGTCGCTCTGGGGCGTTTGTAATTCAGGAGGCTACCACCTGCTGTTCCACATCCCTGGCCGGTATTCTCACGAGTTTGTGGATCAAGTTTGACATACATGAGTTGTGCGGTATACGGCTGTCTACCATTTTGTTGTGAGTTCAACAGGAGCAGGCCACTACGCAGACAAAGTAGCCTCTGTAACAACACTGGCAAATAAGCATTAATTCAAATTATGCATTAGGACATTATGGTAATTCTGCTGGAATTTCTGCAAAAACTGTGCAGCAGGAAGTCAAAGTATTTATCTCTCTGAAACAACAGGGGACACATTTGACCTTTCAGTCTGTGGGGCCAGCTGTGCCTGGAGATTTTAACCAGGGCTGAGGAAAATGAGTGTTTAACAAACCTGAAAAAGGGTATAAACAATTTCCCAGTGCCCAAATGTACAATCTTCTTGTTTTGCCTGACCATTCTGCTTATAACCCTATAAATCACAAGAAAGCAACAAACCGGGAAATGTTCTATCATTGGTTGAACTGTTTAATCTCTAACATGAGCTCCCCCTCAGCGGTCGGCCTCGCCTGCTCAGTAACCAGCAGCAGGGGAGGTGACTATGTTGTTGCAGCCAAACGCTCAGGTCACAGTCTGTTGCAAGGTACTGTGCATGCTCAGAAATACCCCTCCAATGAAACGCAGTGTAAATATTTCGCACCAGCCATGTGCACTCGGGTGTTTCATGTACCACAGATTTCCCATGTGTTGCCAACACTGGTGAAGTTTTAATTGATACTCCAAATTCTTTTAAGTGACCTGTGCAGCAAAGGATAAAGACCCTACTCTTGCATATTTAGTTCACCCAAACATGGGCCAGTAGTACTTGCACACTGTCACTTAACTTCTGCTTGACTTGAGTTTGGATGGTTATGAAAGAAACAACTATGTCACGCCTTTGCCATCAAACAGTCGCTGAACACTTTTGAATGATACCCAGTTGTTAGTGTATCCTATTCCGACTGAAAGCCTGCACTACACCACTGGATGCCAGAATGTGACTTGGCAGCAAAAAATGGTGAAATAGCTACCGGGAGCCAGTATATCACCTTACTTGTATATCACCTTACTCCCACCCAAAAAAACCAAAGAACAGAATCTGTCACACACCAGGCAGTTTGAGCCATCGAGCTCTAATTCTCGCTCTTAGCTCGCTGACTTCTTGTGCTCACATTTCCCGATCTCTGGCGGCAGTATGTTTAAAAATGCGTCATGAACTGAGAGATTGAAGTCACCAGTTTGAATCCCCAGAATGACGACGGGGATCTGAACGGATAAATTGAAAAAGAGGCACTCATCCATCCATCACTGACTGCTGTTGAGATGTCCTTGAACGCAGCGCTGAATCTGCACCTGCTCCAGTGGAGCTGCTCAGTGGCCGGCAATAGGTTGCACTGGACAACTTCGGTGTGTGTGTGTGTGTGTGTGTGTGAGTGTGTGAGTGTGTGAGACTCTCCACCTCTTGTCCAGAAGGACATTTACTTTTCTAATCCTCTGCAGTAAATAAGAATATACTTTTAATCAACCTTTCTTGTTATGTAAGGCCACAAATAA